TCATACTCTAGTAACACGTGACGCAAGTGGTTCGTGTATTGATCATGTTCTGCTAAAAACGAATAATCCTTCACTTACTATGGTTCCTCAAACTTCAATCACTGATCACAAACCTGTAATTTTATGTATGAAAAATAAACAACGTCAACAGTTTTATACAACTACTATCAGAAAAATAGATCACGATAAACTTAATTCGGATATGCAAAACATTGACTTTTTACCTATATATAATATTAAAGATCCAAATACTTCTCTTGAATACTTAGTTAATAAAATAAAAACAGTAATTGAAGTTAATACTCAATTAGTGAAGTTGCCAAGACAAAAAAAGATCATTAAACCTTGGATTACGACTGGTCTTCTTAGATGTATTCGTCACCGTGATAAACTACATAAGAGGGCTAGACGATTTCCAGATAGTGAAAGTGATCAAATTATATACCGACGATATCGTAATCACTGTAACGCATTGTTAAAAAAGGTAAAGAGAAATTATGAAAAAGAGCGAGTGAATATGGCTAAAAATAATAATAAGAAGCTATGGGAAGTACTTACTGATATTATAGGTAACATGAAAAAAGAAAGGGTATAACAGAGAACTGTTAAATATATCTAGCACGCCGCAAGTATCTGTTAACCTTATTAATAATTATTTTGTAAATGTAGGTAAAAGTTTGGCAAAGAGTTTTAAGGTAGGAAATAAAAACAGTGAAAGTTTTAATATTAACATTGGTGAAGAATCAAATTATTACTTAAATTCATTTGCTTTATTGGACACGGATGAAAGTGAAGTAGAACAATTAATTGACAATTTGAAAACCGACTGTTCAGTTGGTTGGGATGGAATTTCGAATAAATTTATTAAAAATTTTAAATATTTGTTAATACCTCCTTTAACTTGTATATTTAATCAATGTTTAAATGATGGTGTATTCCCTAGACATCTTAAGAAAACCGTAATTCGACCTATTTTTAAAGATGGTGAAAAAACCTGTTTAAGTAATTATAGACCCATCTCTATATTACCTGTGGTTGCGCGGAAAACCATTCGCATTTTTTTGTATGACGGTAGGACTTGCCGAATCGTTATTCCTTTCCAAAACGATATCATTCGTACCCTCCTATCGACACATCGGGGTGGTGGGGTGGGAGGGGAAAGAAGACGATTCTAGAACATCGCGTAATAATCGGGGCCGAGGATATATAGGCACGCGCGACCGATGCGCGGCTCTCTTTCTTCCCGCCGCAGCCGTCGTTGAACTACAACGCTTCTCTCCCGACGCACCCCTGGGGCCCCAGAGTGTCTGTCCAGAAGAAGTTCCGGAAGTCGCCGCTATAGTGCTCTAAAGGATAGAAGAACCCCGGTGAGTCAATATCCATTATTATACCTGCTTGATAATAGTTTTAACCCGCTCCAACTTTGTGTTTTCCTAATCAAGCAGGATTCCTTTCATCGATTTGGCAAGTAATAGTTTTAGTTTAGGGAAGAGCGAGTGCATTGTACCGCATGCTATAGTAGTCGCTTTTACGTAAGCGTAGAAGCAATCGCATATACAGTCCACTTTAGTTAATATCTCGCGTAATAGGTTTAAGGTTCGACCGGGGAACTAGATTTTCGGCAGCCTTAAACACGTGGCTCCACCAACCTGCTTTATCCAAAATTTTAGAGAAAATTATAAATAATAGACTTACAAAATATCTGAAGAAAAATAATTTATTGTCAAATACGCAGTTTGGTTTTAGACATGGCAAATCAACGGAGCATGCCGTTCATACTCTTACAAATTTTTTGTCATCGTATTTAGACAGTGGAAAAAAGTGTATTTCTGTTTTCTTAGATTTGACGAAAGCATTCGATACCGTGCCAATAAAAATACTATTAAAAAGACTGGAAAATGTCGGTATCAGAGGCACTCAACTCAAACTATTCAAAAGTTATCTTTCTGAGAGATATCAATGCGTTACTGTAAATAATATTACCAGCAATGATTTACTAGTAACACACGGCGTACCACAAGGAAGTATACTCGGCCCAACCTTGTTTCTTATTTATATTGATAATTTTACAAAAATTAATCTCTCTCAGGGACATATAATTTCATATGACACTGTTTTGATATTTGCTGCGGATACGTGGAAAGATGTATTCTCGTCTGCACAATTAGGTATAAATGCAGTTACTAATTGGCTTTACAGTAATAAACTTTCAATCAATATTACGAAAACAAAATATATAGTTTATTCATTAAGAAAACCTATTCGCAACCTTGATAATTTTAACTTAGTGATTCATTCATATGATTGTTTAACAAGGGATAACAGCTGTTCCTGCCTTTCACTTGAGTCTGTTGAATATATTAAATATCTAGGGGTTATAATAGATAGTAATTTAAATTTTAAACAACATATTAACACTCTTAGCAAAAGAATTCATAAATTAATATATATATTTAAAACTATTAGACACGTTTTGGATCCAGATATATTAAAACGAGTTTACTTAGCTTTATGTCAGTCTATTATAACATACTGCATATCAACGTGGGGTGGTGCCTCTAAAACGGTGTTACAAAAGATAGAAATCTCTCAACGTGCTATACTCAAAGTTGCAACATTTAAACCTTTTCTTTATCCTACATCACAGCTTTATGATAACTGTCAGGTCCTTACAGTAAGACAACTGTTTATATTAACGATCATTCAGAAACAACATAACTTATTAGTATACAACCGATCGAACTTAAATAAACGCAGGAAATTTTCCGTAGATACAACTAATTTTAAAACAACTTTTATAAGAAAATTCTTTGCATTTTTGGGACCACACTTATATAATAAACTAAATAAAACATTGGACATTTACCACCTTAATAAAATAAATTGTAAAAAAACTGTACATAGTTACCAACAAAAATTAACTTATAATGAAACTGAAAACCTGCTTAGTATTCAGACTTAAAAATAAATTCATAGATAACTGTCACCTGTAATACTACCCGTATAAAATCATAATAACCAGACACACACACAAGCACGTGTGCAAACAACACACACACACACACACACACACACACACACACGACATACATTTTACATGCTCCTCTCCCATAACTGCTCACACACATTACACTCATAACACAATTACTTCTTACAGTCATACATTACACATCCTATGAGAGAGGAACGGCATTAGTAGTATAAATTATTATTTTGTTTGTACCTTGGTATTAGTAACGAGTGGTAACATAGTATATAAACATAATATGTGATACAATTAATTTCATTGTACTTAGGTTATATTAGCGGAATGTACAAATTTTTAGATAGTATTTGATTATTTAACTTTTGCTTGCATCCTAATATTTCTATAAATTAACGGTGGGGATATGGCGCTGACAGCTGATGCACAGGTCTCCTAGTTCGGCTGCAGATGCTATGTTTTCAAGTATATGTACTAATGTAGCTTTATTAAATAATGTTATGCAAATATCGTGATGTACAACCTCTTGGAAATAAAGAACAATTATTATTATTATTATTATTATTATTATTCCAAATATATCTTATACAAAGACTGTATATATAAGAGATGTGCTCAGCGGCCGTACTAAATTGCGCACTAGGTTTCCGTAACCCTTTAGTCGACTACGAGTGGCTGAGAACACTAGTTCTTTGTTGCGTAAACCACGAACGTTCGTTTCAACAATCTAACACTGATTTTGTGTAATGTGACTGAGAAAATGCGGTCATTATTTATGTACCCACTTTGTCAACGTGATTTGAAGTATGTCAGATAAGCATGTAACTATATTTTGTATTTGCCTAAAAACAGTTACTGTTATAAGTGAAAATACAACTGCGTCGCATGTTTACTGTGCCAGCTGCGCGCCTAGCCAGGACCTGTACGATTTACAATTGCGACATTTTTTGTTTATTGGATTGCCGGACTAGTAGTATACATAGAAATCTTTTTTCTTTTTTAATAAACGTTACCCCTTACATTAGGATTCTCTCATGTATCGTGGGGGCAGTTTACAAACATAAATTGCACGAGGACAAACATCCGGACCGGAAATCTGGAAAATTATTTGTAGGCCATACAAATACTTGTTCCGTGCGGGATTCGAACCCGCGACCCCCAGCGCAATTACTCATTACTAAGCCACTGCACCACGGAGTTTTTGAAGTTGTGGGAACTTAATTTGCTTATTTCCTTATAATACAGACTTGTAGATGTCTTTGTCTGCAACACGCACGTTCTAATTTAACATCTCGTTCATCATCAGCTCTTTCTTGATGGAAGTAACTATTTTCTGTTGTAGAGAGGATTGTAATATCTGCTTTTAGCAAGCGATTGTCGAACGCAACACCGGACCTATGACCCTGAAATCCTACGCCGATCTAAATATTCACATCCGGTATTTATGAGACAGCTATCTTTTCTATCTTATTCCACAGCAGAGAAAGAGAATCCGTAACTCCTTTTCTTTTCTCTCAACTTACTGCTAGATGCAGCCTTTTCCAAGTGTTCGATATCTGACTTGCAATTTTATATGGGCATGGTTGATATCAATATTTAAGATATTATATTTTTGTTCGTGTTTTCGAGTCAATATTAGTCAAGGCCTCATTCTCTAGGTTTAGTTTTAAGTGAGATATTTATGATAATAGTAAGAACCACAAGCTAGCACATAGAACACGTATAATGGATGTTGTGACTCATAGACATCTAAAGTATCTTTGACTAAGAATCAAACTGCACATGACCTGTTCCCATAAGAGCAATAAAATTGCAGTTAAAAGTAATAATTTAAATCAAATATACATTTCACGCGACTAGTGAATCATAAAAATAATTAAGATTTTAATTACTTTTTTCAATAAAATATTAACTTTATGACCATAAAACTACCGTCAGTGCAGGTTTAGGGGATCATTAATCGGATCTTTATTAATCGGGACTACGCAAAATAGTTAACATTATTATCAAGACTTACGGCAGTTAGTAAAGCTTTATCGTTTTTATCAGTTTGTGTCATGTTGGGTGACATCTCCACGAGGTAAATGTTGCCCTTTTCGCTCCCGCAAGCAGCAAGGGTGCCCTGAAGAAACCAATATTTTAAAGATAGGATTAGCTTTTATATTTTAGATTCGCCGTGTAGTGGCGGTTAAAAATATCCACTACCCCAAATCTTTCCGTGGGTGTCGTAAAAGGCGACAGAGGGAGACAGGCAGGAGATGGGCAGCAGCATCTTCCAGATAACATCAACTGTACAAAAAAACTGCGGTTGCGAACCCGCTCGCCAAGCGTGGCAACTATGGCAATATACCCCCCATGAAGAATTACACAAATAGATGGCCCCCTAGTCCCTGGCGGTCCCGCTATTCCTGGCTACGTTGGCGACCGTGGTAACGGCGGGGCTAAGAATCTCCGGTGGAGGTTCGGTTGCCACCTACGACGACTTGACTTGGCAACATTTAATGCACGTACCCTGAGGACTGACGAGAAGATCCTGGAGCTGGAAGAAGAGATAGACAAGTTGCACTGGAATATTATAGGATTATCCGAGGTCCGAAGAGGGGGAGGACACGGTTATTCTCGAAACCGGCAACTTGTTCTATCACCGGGAGGGCAACCATCTGTCGCAAGGAGGTGTTAAATTTATCGTCCACAAATCTCTCGTTAACAACGTTTTAAAGATTGGGAGTGTATCGACGAGGGTTGCGTACCTTATACTCAGAATCACCAAACGGTATTCGCTGAAGGTCATAGAGGTTTACGCGCCAACGTCGGAACATCCCGATGAGTAGGTGGAGGAAATGTATGAGGACATTTCTATAGCCATGTATTCCTCCAAAACTCACAATACGGTGTTAATGGGAGACTTCAACGTAAAACTGGGCACAAGAAAGAACGGTGAGCTGAAGGTAGGGAAATTTGGGATAGGGTAACGGAATCCAAGGGGCCAGCAGCTGGCTGACTTCATGGAGAAAGAGGGACTTTTTATGATGAACTCTTTCTTCCAGAAGCGGACCCACAGAAAGTGGACCTGGTAGAGCCCCGAAGGTTCAACATAAAACGAGATTGACTTAATTATGACGACCAGACGCTAACTGTTCAGTGATGTCTCAGTTATCGCAAGGGTGAAAACTGGCAGCGATCACCGAATGGTTAGAGGCACACTGAACCTAAAAGGTAAGTTGGAGAGGTCTCGTCTAATGAAGTCAACGCTCCGTCCCCCTCATGCTCTAATCCAGAGTCCCGAAACTTTTCAGCTCGAGTTACGTAACAGCTTTCAGTGCCTAGAAGATTGCAATGCAGTCATCATCATCATTACAGCCCTTCCCAAGTCTACTGCTGAACATAGGCCCCCCCAAGTAATGCCACAAAGCACGGTCCTGAGCCACCTGCATCCATTGACTTCCTGTATATCTTACCAGGTCATCACTCCATCTAGTGGGGGGTCGCTCTACATTACGCCTACCGGTACGAGGCTGCCACTCGAGAACCTTTCTTCCCCATCGGTTATCGGTTCTTCGAGCTATATGGCGACCCATTGCCACTTCAGCTTACTAATCCGTTGGGCTATGTCAGTCACTCTGGTTTTACTGCGGATATCCTCATTTCTGAGTCTATCACGCAGAGAAACTCCGAGCATAGCCCTCTCCATAGCTCGCTGAGCGACCTTGAGCGTCCTCATACGGCCAGCAGTGAAGGACCACGTCTCAGATCCGTAAGTCATCACTGGCAACACGCACTGGTTGTACAATCTAGTTTTCAGAGATTAAGGTATACCTGACGAGAAGATATATCGTAATTTCCCGAACGCTGCCCAGCCGAGTTGAATCCGTCGATTGACCTCTCGGTCAAAGTTGGACTTACCTAGTCGGACTATTTATCCCAGGTAAACGTACTCGTCAACAACTTCGAGCATAGTGCTCCCAACAACTACCGGCACAGGTGTGACATGGACATTAAACATAATCTTGGTTTATCCGTTGGGAGACACTACTGAGGTCATTGAGCATAGTGCTTAAGTCCTCCAGCGATTCTGCCATATACTATATCGTCGGCAAATCGAAGGTGAGTGATGTACTCGCCATTGATGTTAATACCGTATCCTTTCCAGTCCAGTAGCTTGAAAACGTCTTCCAATGCAGCGGTGAAGAGTTTCGGGGATATAACGTTACCCTGTCTTACACCTCTCTGCAGTTGGATAGGTTTCGAGCTCTGGTTCTGTACTCGGATAGCCATCGTAGCCCTACTGTACAAACACTTCAGCACTTCGATATACCGACAGTCAACTTGGCACCGCTGAAGGGACTGTAGCACCGCCCAAATTTCGACGGAATCAAAGGCTTTCTCATAGTCCACATACGCCAGGCAAAGTGGCAGATTGTATTCTTCAGTCTTCTGTACAATCTGCCGCAGGGTATGTATGTGGTCTATGGTACTGAAGCCTTTTCGGAAACCGGCTTGTTCGGGAGTCGAGAGTTGTTGTTCGGGCGTTGTTGTTGCAATGCAGTGGACGATATGAATGACAAGCTCGTAGAAACTGTCCATGCGGTCGGAGCTAAGTTCTGCAAGACCCGCCGCAGAAGATTACAAAAACTCTCCGATCACACTTTTAATCCGTGACTACTCCGTAACTCCTCCCGTCTAACAGCCATGAGGCTGTTGGACGGGAGATGAGGCTGCAATCGTCAATAGATTTGACAGCATACAGGCAACTGAACAGACAGATCTCCAAATGCATGCGACGAGACTTACGCAACTTTAATACTTCTCGTATTAAAGAAGCGATCGAGTGGAAACAAGGCTCCAAAGTCTTTGCCAGAGATCTGTCTGCCAGATAGAGCCAACTGTCTAAGCTGAAGACTGAGTGTGGCAGCATCGTTTCCAGGACACCTGAGATTTTAAATGAGATTGAGAGGTTCTATGGGCAGTTGTACACATCATCGTTGGAGCCACACGCAATTGTGAGCAACGATCCAAGAGCAAGTCTTATCCGACACTATTTCGATGACATCCCGGAAGTCAGTCTGAGCGAGAATAGAATGGCTCTGCAGCAACTTAAAAACGGCAGGGCCCCAGGCGAGGATGGAATTAAAGCGGAGCTTCTCAAAGCGGGTGGAATACCGGTACTTGAAGTCCTTCAGAAGCTCTTCAATTACGTCCTCCATCGTAGCACTACTCCGGAGGCGTGGAGTAAAAGTGCGGTGGTCTTGTTCTTTAAGAAAGGCGACAACGCTCTCTTGAAAAACTAGAGACCGATATCCCTTCTGAGCCGCGTCTACGTGCTGTTTTCGAGAGTCATTACGAATCATCTCGCACGCAGACTCGACGACTTCCAGCCTCCCAAACAAGCCGGTTTCCAAAAAGGCTTCAGTACCATAGACCACATACATACCCTGCGGCAGATTGTACTGAAGACTGAAGAGTACAATCTGCCACTATGCCTGGCGTATGTGGACTATGAGAAAGCCTTTGATTCCGTCGAAATTCGGGCGGTGCTACAGTCCCTTAAGCGGTGCCACGTTGACTGTCGGTATATCAAAGTGCTGAAGTGTTTGTACAGTAGGGCTACGATGGCTATCCGAGTACAGAACGAGAGCTCGAAACCTATCCAACTGCAGAGAGGTGTAAGACAGGGTGACGTTATTTCCCCGAAACTCTTCACCGCCGCATTGGAAGACGTTTTCAAGCTACTGGACTAGAAAGGATACGGTATTGACATCAATGGCGAGTACATCAATCACCTTCGATTTGCCGACAATATAGTCCTTATGGCAGAATCGCCGGAGGACCCAACAAATAGGTCTTAAGGTGAACATGGACAAAACAAAGATCATGTTCATTGTCCATGTCACACCTATGCCGGTAGTTGTTGGGAGCACTATGCTCGAAGTTTTGACGAGTACTTTTACCTGGGACAAGTAGTCCGACTAGGTAAGTCCAACTTACCTACTTACCTAGTCGGACTACTTGTCCCAGGTAAAAGTAATCGACGTATTCAACTCGGCTGGGCAGTGTTCGGGAAATTACGACACATCTTCTCGTCAGGTATACCTCAATCTCTGAAAACTAGATTGTACAACCAGTGCGTGTTGCCAGTGATGATTTTATAACACGTGGTCCTTCCTTGCTGGCCGTATGAGGACGCTCAAGGTCGCTCAACAGCTATGGAGAGGGCTATGCTCGGAGTTTCTCTGCGTGATAGACTCAGAAATGAGGATATCCGCAGTAAAACCAGAGTGAAGGACATAGCCCAACGGATTAGTAAGCTGAAGTGGCAATGGGTCGGCCATATATTTCGAAGAACGGTAACCGATGGGGGAAGAAAGGTTCTCGAGTGGCAGCCTCGTACCGGTAGGCGTAGTGTAGGGCGACCCCCACTAGATTGAGTGACGACCTGGTAAGATATGCAGGAAGTCGTTGGATGCAGGTGGCTCAGGACCGTGCTTTGTGGCGTTACTTGGGGGAGGTCTTTGTTCAGCAGTGGACTTGTGAAGGGCTGTCATGATGATGATGATGATCATTAGCTTGTTACTGGTAACACTAATTTTAATATATTTTTGATTGCCTCGAGGTTCCGGGTTTAAATGTCGGGTAACAAAAAAACTGTTATTGGGTTTTCCTGTCAAGAATTTCTCAGCAGCCCGGAGTCAGGAAGGTGGCAGTGCCTCACACCCGTGCCTCGAGAAACATGTAAAGCCGTTGGTGCAGTGCCTGATCTCTCTCCGGTTACGTAGTACTATTATTTATTCTGTGCTCCGGTCATGTCGGGTTACCGTTTATAGCGTACCGTCATATACTCGTGTAATCCTGTCCTGCGCTAACTGATAGCCTCCATCGAGACTGGTTGCTGTGACCGAAATCAGTTCTGTAGGATATTAATATATTGGTGTGAAACGCAATTCAGAAGCATCATAATATGACGATGGCATCGAACCGTTTCGTGCATGCACAGTGAGAGTAGCGGCTCGGGGCAGAGCTGCGTGGTGAGCGCGGGCCGCTGCTGGCACCGTAGCAGGTCCCACACCGCTAGCACGCCGTTCGACTGCGTCAGCACCATCAGAGAAATTCTGCGTAACCAAAACAGAGATCAGACCATTATGTGACAGAGCAGAGTTGGACTGGAGAAGGACCACGCTCACACATCCAGTTCACCCAACACAAAAAACACATTTTTGTTTAGCAGAACGATGTTGGAGTGAAGAAAAACCACGCGCAAACAGAATACTGTTGCAAAATAGCAGCATAATGTCGCTGTGTTTCGTATGATAAGTCTAGAGAAATTTCATTGCGATCGGTTGTAATTTCCCAAAAAATATCTATACTGTTTCCATTATTTTATATTATTAGCTTTGTGTCGGCTATCTGCGTGACTTTGAAATATATAACGCAAGTCATTCAACCATTCTAACCTTCATACACACATCTCACACTCAACTTTCATACATACTTTGTCACCACTAAGTCTTTACTCTGCCAGGTTTAAATATTTAAAAATGTTACGCTTTCTTTTACGTGTCGTTTGCATTAAATAAAGTGCATGAAAACACGGATTTGTTACAAATTGTCATTTACTTCTGAACTGCTTAGTTTTTCATTTAAGTCAGCAAAAGCAGATGAATGAAATTGGGTGCTTGACATCGTTTGTAACAATTATAAAAAATATGAAGGTAATAAAATGATAAATTATAAGCATAATTTAATGGGTTTTCTTTCTATAATATTTCTTATAGTATTGAGTAAAAAACGGGCACACAGTCGACCTGATGGTAAATGAATGCTGTGGTCCACAGATATCCACAATGGTCCACAGATACCACATTTATCCTCCATTAACCCTTCAAGCGCCATAAAAATCCCAAGCAGTCGCATGCGACCGCACTCACTCACAGCACTTAAAACCGTTAAAACTTATGTTTAGAGACTACTTTTTTAGGAAGAAGTTTGGCACTATAAAACCTATACAAAATTCTCTATCCTGTGGTCGAAATAAAATTCAGGTTTTACTTAATTACAAAAAGATTTTATTGTATTTTGATAACAAAACGAAATATACTAAGCGAATGTCGGCAGCGTGAAAATCACAATTAGTTCAATTTATATTACCCGAAATTATTTCAGTAATAAGATAAATTATATTCAAACAAAAACTTTCATTACAATTTTATAATAAAACACTATATTAAAACACTAATAAAACACTAGAAAAATCCAAAAATCAACACAATAACATTCACGCAAAAATGGCGTCCGAAATGAACGTAGATTATAAAGAAATATTCATGGGATAACAGTTTTTTTGATTGCACTAGAAAGTAGAACATTTCATATTGATTATATAATGCCAAACTTCTTCATAGAAAAAAGTCTCTATATATAGGTTTTTATGGGTTAAAATGCTGTGGGTGGGTGCGACCTCATGAGACCGCTAGGGATTTGACGGAATATGGCCGCGGTCTCATGAGACCGCTAGGGGTTTGAGAGGTTCAGAATCATAATGCAAATGCGTTGTCACCCCTGAGAACTAAGATGTAATGCCTCGATCCCAGTAAAAAGGGTCTCCGGTTCTCTACATTCACCATACGAAACACAGCAGCATTATGCTGCTATTTTACGCTGTTGTTGTTTTAAGACTTGTTCTGTGAGAGCGCGGACCTGCCCTGGTCGAGCCGACCTATTCGTGTTACAACTATAATATACTCGCAGCTGCAGCGTGGCTCCACCACATTTAAAATACGTAACACGTGGGACCGCCATAAAATCATTTGTTTAAATGAAAAACGAAAGCTAATGCTTTTAATGTGGCAGAAATAAAACATTATTAAATATGGTTCTGTATTTTGTCAATGGCAATAGTTAATAAAGGCTTCTTTTTATAATGAAATAGCCTTCATAATCAAAAATGTCTTAATATTGAAATATTGAAGCGAATGTGTAGAGATTAATACTGAATAAAAGAAATGTATTAAGAAAATCGATTGAATAGGCTGCTATTAAAACAAAATCACATTAAAGTACATGTATTATCTGACACGACTGAATAGGCTGTTCGAAAGGATACTGAACTTGGTAACTTCGAGTTTCAACTCGTCATGCGCAATCGGCATTGTGGTTGTGTTTGTGGATACTCGTATATCGCAATTTTACTTTCGTGGATTAATTTAACTTAGCCATTGGCTTTTCTCTCGGACTATTGAATATTACTATTTTATTTTATTTAATTATAACAGATTATTATATCAGAACAAAAGTTAATTAGTAGAATCAGGCGGTACTTTGCGAAAATCCATTGTACTAAAGTTGTTATGAATTAAGTAAGACACATCATTTTATTTCACTGAGCCTATGTGGGTGAAGTAATTCTTAATAACTCTAACTAAATTAAAGTATTTCTTTTACTTTTACGACTGTTTTGGAAAAAAAAACAACTGTCCTGCAAAGAATCAGCCGGATACCTAGCGGGACTTCTTTTCAAAGTACATTAAACAATACAATACAGTTTGATTTTACATACTATATACAAAATTTATTTTAGAAACAGCTTAGAAGCGAACAAGTCAGTTTCAGGATTTATTATCAACCTTGTATTCATTTATACTATCAACCCTTTTTATAAAGTTTTGTTCAATAAAATATCTAAACTTGGTGCTAGAAAAACCTTGTATATTTTCTGGGACTTTGCTGTATTAAAAGTTACAATATAGTATGATTCAACAGAAAACTAGTTATGGTAACCTTGTGGGGCTCCAGGCACCTGCAGTGATGCGGTGGCGGCTCGGCGGCGTCCAGATGATCGCAGAATCGCGGCAGTCCTCGCTCCACACGCGCGCCGACCAGTCGCCTACCGTGAGGAAGTTCTTCAGGAAGCCTGGATTCCGCTCCAGCGACCACACTGGTCCCAAATGCGCCTCGTACTGTATTGTTTTGTATTTTGTAACACCTTTATAATATTGTTTTTTTTTTTAGTTTTGTTAAAGTTATTATTAGTATATTATTATAGTTAAGAAATATTTCCATCAGGATGCCACGTCGCGTAATTTTATAAGAGAAATGTCAGAAAGATCTTCCCAAGATATGATAGTGCAAGCATACGCGCATTGTTTGTTCTACTACAGATGAAATATACCCCGAAAGATAATGGGGGGGGGGGGGGCAGCATCAAAGGTGTGTCGTGATATCTCTTGTGTTTGCTAACCATAGCGATTACGATATAATATAATATTCGCTATTATGGAATAGTTCTGTAAGACTCAAGGATTGAGAATCGAGAAGAATATTTAATGTGTTATTAAACGCCAAAGGATATTTTAATTCTACAAAATATTTAAAATTTTATTCTTTAACTAAATACTTCTAGATAAGTGTACCTTCGCTGGCAGCTTGTCAAAAGCAGTCTTGCCTTTACGGTTTCCGCTAATTACGAGTCCGTTCTCGGTACCCACCATGAACCGACTCGGAATTGTGGGCTCATATTCAAGTGCACTGACGCCGTTCGCGGTGGCCATGTTCTGCGGCTCCGTGGATGATTTGACCAAGTCAATAATCAGCTCATCTGTGACTTCGTTCAAATTGCGCATGTCCCACCACTTGCAGACGCCGTCGGGCCCGCTTGAGAAGAACTCCTGTCCAGATTTGGTGTTGATGAAGAGCAGGCGGCGGGCGAGGTCGCGGTGGGCGATGTGTTGGGGACAGAGCAGCGCCGGGTCGCCACCACTGCGCGTGTCCCACACGCCTACGCGGCCGCTCAGCAGTGAGGCGGCCAGCGAGTGTGGGACACGCGGCGCGTACGCCACGTCCAGGAGCGCATCATCGCGTGCTCCCAGCGTTAGGAGTGGCGCCTGTGGGCGGCTCGCGTCCCACACGTATGACGGCTGCGGCGCCAGCGAACGTCGGTCAAAGACCACGAGCGCGTGCACAGCGGCGAACTGCATGCCCTCAGGCTGCCAACAGATGGCGCGCACGCATCGCCCTGGTGCCGCCTCGTGACACACGTTCACGGTACGCAGGCTGCTGCGCTCCGGAGCCGGAACTGCAGCCATTTCGGCGTAATACGCGCGGTACATGTCGATCGCGTTATTTTGTAGCACAAAGTGTTCCAAATCCTATGAGTGGAAGAAAGGAACGAGATGAATTAAACTTTCGAGTCAGTTTTCTTTTTTAAATTAAATAAGGAACACCAAACGGACAACCGAGTACACAGTGTACGTAGTGGAGCCATGCTGCAGCTATATTTTAGTAGTATAGTTGGTTGGCTTGACCGGGGAATGCCCATGTTCCCACAGAATACCAGCGTGAAATAACAGCTTAACGCTGCTGTGTTTCGTATGGTGAGTGCAGAGAACTGGAGACTTCTTTCATCGGAACTGAAGCATTCGATCTAAGTCTACAAGGATTGCAACGCATTTGGATTTTGATTTTTAATCGAGGGTAGATGTAGATGTTTATAACCCGCAGCATTCAATAAATTCAATTTGTATTGTTCAGAATAAATAAAAACAATTATAACTTGGGAACATAAGTGTCCCTAAAAGAACGATTTAGAGAGCACAGTATCTAATATATTATTTGTAAGGAAAATAATTAGTATGATAAATATAGTGTTAACTTCCTACACTGCTGTTTTATAAATAAAAAATGTGTCAACTCTTGACCTCCATCTGGCCCGGAGGCAGAGGTGTGACCTATAATGGAGCGAGTTTGCCCTGGAGAAGCCTGTTAACACGCACCTAGAGGTCCAGGTTGTAGGTACTCGGAGAAACAGGCGCCGGTAGGGCATTCTACTCCTTGGTTGAGCGCATTATAAAACATGATTTATAGCCCTTAATGCGAATGTTCGGAAAGTCAACCAACCAACGGTAACCTTCAGTACGTCTGGTATTCCGATAGGCTAATGGAGATAGCGGTATGACCTTATGCAGCTCATAAGCACAGTCTCCGAAGTATAAGTACACAGTATAGCCACTAGACTATAAGTCCCTCAAAATACCGTTTAGGGTGTTTAGCAAATTGTTGCAATTTGAGGAGCCATATAACCAAAATTTTAAATGTAATTTTAGGAATATTAGACATTATTTTTAGCCTAAACCATTATTTTTCGTTTTTCTAATCAACACTGTGCCCCAATATGCATTTATATCCATATTTTTATTCTAACCTCTACAACCGATGTTTAGTTACAGTATTTAGTATTTTGTCCGTATATTATTTGGTTATTTTGCTGGCACGTCAAGTTTTTGATAGAAAACATATTATACAAGTTTACCGTAAATATAATTTAGCACTTTCAATTCACCAACTATCACCGTCAATATTCAACTCTAGTTCGAGTGTAATATTAATACATTAAATATATTTCTGTACTCTGACTGCCATCATGCTCATGTTGCCACCATTCAATAAAGTATATAAATATAAACTAGTCATCGAAAATAAAGTTGAAAGCCTAATTCAGAACGCTTATTTTTAAATGCTACTTATAATACAATATTTGAGGTGGAATAGTTCCCTTGAATACCAAAAAATAGCTGTAATACAACTGTTTTACGGGCCCTTTTATGCTTGTGCAGCTAGTATACAGTGCTATTAACGCATAAAGCTGTATAATTTGTGCATATATTTTTACTTGTAAGAACTGTATGAGCGCTTATACAGCCTATATACCGCCAGAAAATACATCCTCTAGTATAAAAACTAACTTCAATACAGCTCGTATACTTGGCAGTCCTACCACTGCATGATATTCCACTCCCAGTACCACCACACTAAGAAAGCCACACCACCCACCATAATAAGATACGTGTTTCGACTCTACACGAAGCTACCTCATGTGAAGTAGTCTGCAGCGGCTGTTACCGCTGAGAGTTATTTGTTAAAATGTATTTTTATTGCAAATGACCTTTCTTGGGATCTTGTGTGTCCATGTGAACTAAAAAAAACAACCATAACATAGCTGCAGCGTGGCTCAAGCAGTTCCATTGGTAATAAAGTAACAGCAACAATGTTACCATGTTCACAACTTACGGGCGACAGCGACTTAACGCAGTGTACATAATTGTCATCTTTTTCAATCTTTCGCCGATACCTCTGGGTTGCTTCCGGATCGGTCACATTCACATCTTTTGGCCAGCCGCCTTCTGCGTGGTTTGCGCCGGAATTCGTGAACTCTACCCTGTGACGTCGACAATAGTTAAATCATTATGTAGTTATGAACAAAAAGTGAATTCATAAAGATTTTTTTATGAAATTACCGTGAAAAACCAGCACACAGTCCACCTGATGATAATTGAATGCTGTATCCCATAAAAATTTACCTATAACCTCGATCACTTCTGATTACTAAGATAGAACGTCTCTTTTCCAATAAAGAGGTGTCCTGTTCTCTACACGGTGAGTGTACACGAAATACAGCAGAATTAAGCTGCTATTTTATGCTGGTACTCTGTGATATCGTAGTCCTTCCCCGCCAACTCATTCGTACTGCATCCATGCAGCATGGCTAAATGTATAAAACGCTTACATACATTGCTAGATTCACGCATCCTCTACTTCATGACAGACTTGAAGCAGCAGGTGGCCAACTGGTAACGTCAAGCAGCATGTAACCTCGTTACGTATTAGCAGACTACAGAAACACGAAATATTTTTAATTTCTCAGACAAGCAGAAATTCTCAGAACGTGTTAAATTATCGCTTAAAATTACAACTTTCTGGCTTATAGACTACCTTTCTAGATATTATGTACTGTACATAACTGCTAGAATTAATTGTACATAAAATTATGCTAAGTAAAATAACCTGATTGTATTAACTTGGTGCTTCGATGTGGCAGGTGTGTTTTGCGTTTGCTGGTGTACGGGATTCCGTAAAATGTAATTCTTGTGCTCTGCGACTAACGGGACGATGCTGTCGCATATTTGAGGACCCTGCTCACTAAATAAAGGCTGACGTCCGAAGTTACCACGCTTTTTAATATACTGGTATGTGATATCCATTTAGTATTTATGTATATATTTAATAAAACAATTCAATAAAAAATCTAAAATACGACCAAAACTTACTCAAAATGTCAATTTTAAATGTTTGAGTTTTTTTCTAACTGTCTGAGAATTAACAAAAGAGTTTTTGCTTGCTTTTTTCAAATAACCAAAGAACATAATATAATAAGAACATTGTAGTGGATATTTTTGAAATTGGTCTCGTAGCTGAAGGCATGGCGAATATTACTACTTTACTTTAGAGTATAAGGGCAGTGAGTATATTGAGTTTTCCTGCAAATGTCAGTCTCACATGCTCTTGCGCAGTGGACAAAATGGGATTGTCTTTGGGTCGACACATATAACCTACCGTCGCGGATATCACTTGATTGATGCTTTCTTATTTTTAACGTTGAACAGAAGCCACAGTTTAGTAAAGTTCACACGTACGTGAACAACCTGTGTTCGATCAGGAAATAAGAAAAAAATATTTTTTAAGAATCTCAGTAACGAGAGGTGGTCTGTGCACAGCAGTGATGAATAAATCAAATATATCTGGTATTAACCAACTCGGTTGATACATCGACTGACAAATTATCTTTTTACGGGCTGCTTATATTATTTAATTATACATATTATAAAAAGCTAAGCTAAGCCCCGGAAAGTTTCCAAAAATAAAATAAAAAGCTTGTAATATGCATTTTAGATAAGTAATTCATACAAGTGGACCAGACAACATGTAACTTTAACGTACACATAATGAACATATTAAACGGATGACAAGGTTAATTTAGTTACAAATCATAAGTGGTTTAATTCATAACGTTAAATGTTAGTTACAAAGAGCGTAACGAAATCAATGCTAAACAATTTTCCGCCATCAAAGCGTGAGTGAGATAAAAGTGCATGTATACCCTGTAGCAATCAGTTGTCTAATTGAGAGCCTCTTGCTCGTTAGGATTTTTCGTCCATGCTGCAAGACCACCAAGAATCAGTCAACCAGTAGTATCTAAAAGATATAAGTAACGATAATTGCCATAATGTTGTGCCGCCTACTATCCTCCCAACACATCGCGTCGTGTATCGTCGTCATACTACTGGATTTGTTTACTGGGCCTGCCATTGCTCTTAATTTTGACGAATATCTAACGGAGACTTCCAAAGGTTTGTACTTTACAATGTCATCTGCTGTGGCGGACCTCAGTCAAGGCCTGCCCAACTTTGTCAGTAGCTAATTCGTCGATTCATCGGACTTAGAAGGTCCCGTAATACGCATTATTAAGCACGGTCTTTGCTGTAGGACATGGATTGTATCTATATATTAGCTATTTTAATTAAAATCCATTTTTCATTACTCCATCCCTTTACTAGTAACATATATACATGTTCTCGCTATTTAAAAAGCTACCGTTTCTTTTGAGCAGCAAAGTTAAGGTACGGCGTGTGCTGCGGAAAATAAGCTTTTGGGCCCCTTTTACATACCTAACAATCAATGCTCCGGTGTTATTTACGATGTGAGTATACATACATTAGGTCCATTTTACAATAGATATTAACAATAATTCGTCATTTAGAAGGTTATAGTCCACTTAAATTTTGCCATGAACGACAACAATATGAAATTCACTATTTTCAGCGCTTTTCTTGAACCAATAAGACTTGCGAATCTTTATGAAAAGAGCCCATAATTTTATAAAAGGCCGGCAACGCATCTGCGATTTCTCTGTGGTTGCAGAAGTTTAAAAAAAGACACATAGTTATTTGTGTTAGAAACTTCAAAGTTGTAATTTCATGACCAGTTTTTATATGTTTCAACTTGCAGCACCCACATTCTACTCACCAAAAATTTGATTTCTTCATTTGATTATCCTACAGATTCCGCAGCACTGCGAGCTACTGCAGTTGGTTAAAGTAATGGTGACGGACTACGCGCACGTCAAAATTAGCATAGATAATGCTCTGCAATCCGCGAGCATCAACCGAGCGCCGAATCTCCTGGGCGAGTGTCCGGGGCGCGCGATCGTGCGCGCTGCACTCGCCTGCGGCCCCTCAGTGCCCAGCCATGGGCCTTCCGACGACAGAAAATATACGCTTCCGCCAGTGTAATAAGTCGAACTGGCATAGATCTCCGAGAGGCATAAAACCCTCTGGGTTGTATGTCAACAATAATTAAATTTTTGCTTAAACTATACCATTGAGTATTATTTTACTAAAAATTATTAAAATACGAACACATAACTTCACACACTTTTTGCTCTACTCCCGCAGAAGAAGCGTAATGTTATTCGGGAGTATTTATGTATGTATGTATGTATGTTTGTCAGCTTAAAAGATTTTAACATCATATAATATATATGTTATATAAGTCCCGTTAAAGACATTTTAATCGTAAGAGTGACATAAGATATATAATATTTATATATTGCATCTAAAAATAAATAACGATGGTGAAGTTTTTTTTAAATAAATTGTAACAATATTGATAGCAAATGAAGGACAGTAACAAGTCAATTCCAAATTTCATGCCAACATTTTTTTATGCTTCCATTTCGATTTTTTTCGCATTAGCTTTTTACGTAGTTGGCTTTTTTATTAGTTTTAACCATTATGCTGTTTTCGCAGGTTTAAAACGAAATAAAAATATATAGTTGACGCTACAACTTTCAGCTAATTTCAAATGCAAAGCGCTTCAAATTTCACCTCGAAGAGCTCAATAATGTCGTAACAGTTTCAGGATCAACTGACGTTAAAGCGGTTTGCAGCAATCGACTCAATATTTTCAGTTTAATAAAAACATTACAAATGACGGAAATTCAAGTTGTTTTGCAAAAAACACTTCTTCGAGATTTCTTATAACAACGATGTAACTCGATCAATTCAACCGATTTTAATGCGGTTCACGGCAATCGACGTACTTTTTTGAATAAAATAAATGAATAGATTATAAAATTGATTGCAACCAGGGTGTAGAATAAAGGTAAAAAAATTGTGAAAATTAAAAAAACTAGAACTTTTGAGGTTTTCTCAAAATCTACCATGATCATTCGGTCTAAACTCACAAAAAATCTAAGTTCAGCAAGGCCGTTTCAGACACCACAAACCGTTACCTAGTTCTGAGAGGTTAACACACACACACACGCACACACGCACACACGCGACGCACGCACGCACGCACGCACTCCCGCACGCACGCACGCACGCACGCACCCACGCACGCACTCACGCACGCACTCACGCACGCGCACACGCACGCACGCACGCACGCACGCACGCACGCACGCACGCACGCACGCACGCACTCACGCACGCACGCACGCACGCACGCACGCACGCACGCACGCACTCACGCACGCACGCACGCACGCACGCACGCACGCACGCACGCACGATCGCACGCACACACGCACGCACGCACTCACTCACGTACGAACGCACGCACGCACGCACGCACGCACACACGCTCGCACGCACGCACGCACGCACGCACGCACGCACGCACGCACGAACGCACGCACGCACGCACGCACGCACGAACGAACGCACGCACGAACGCACGCACGCACGCACGCACGCACGCACGAACGCACGCACGCACGCACGCTCGCACGCACGCACGAACGCACGTACGCACGCACGCACGCACGCACGCACGCACGCACGCTCGCACGCACGCACGCACGCACGCACGCACGCACGCACGCACGCACGCACGCACGCACGTACGCACGCACGCTCGCACGCACGCACGAACGCACGCACGCACGTACGCACGCACGCACGCATGCTCGCACGCATGCACGCACGCACGCAACTTTCTTGTGGAATCGATTACCACTAAAGTTTTTTCCGGACCGATACGACTTAAGGACCTTTAAGAAAAGAGCCTACTCCCTTTTAAAAGGCCGGAAATTAATCTGCAATTTCCCTGGTGTGCAGTGTTCATGGGCGGCGGTAATCACTTACCTTCAGATGAGCCGTGTGCTCGTTTGCCCACTCTCCTATGAAAAAAAGATTTCGAATGTTTCGAACCAGCTATAATAAAGCTGAAGCACAAATTGGTTGGATCGACCGTGGAAGGACCACGCTCTTACATAATACCAGTGTCAAATAGCAGCTCAATTCTGTTGTGTTTCGTATGATGAGTAAATAGAAACAGAGACGCCTTTTACTGGAATCGATTCATTTCATCTTAGTCCTCAGGGGAGGCAACGCATCTGTATTTTTATTCCTGATTGAGGATATACATAGATGTCTATGGACTACAGCATCTACTTACCGCCAGGTGGATTGTGTGCTCGTTTGACACTCTTACGTGTACGTTCTGTGACACAAACCCTGAGTCAATTAAACAAATATAGTTATTTGTCCTTATGAATTCCATACTTAGTGCTAATATACCGATTTTATTGCGTGTTATTTTAAATGATTTTTAATTCCCGAAGTTTTGGGTGCTTTACAGCATCCATGGTCACTGGGGACTGAGGTAACCGACGTCCCGATGTCAATGATCCGACGTACAAGAACTTGAGTTAAAGAACATACAGCTGATGTGAAGCATCGACGTTCCATGAAGTCTGCAGTTTGAGATCATATACTAGGCGGCCCCAACCATTACATCAGATTTACTAGATCACAAATACTCAAGAAAGGACATCGATTCCTACCAAGGATGATAAATGAGGCTATTGAAATTAACATCCTAATTTCAATAGAGAATGAGGCTGGGTACTACAACCTGCTTGGGACTATGTAATTAATAAAACTAAAACTAAACCCAAGCATACCACTGCATTCTTCAAGACAGATTATGTTCATACTGCATAGATCGGACCATAAACAGTAATTAAAACAGCTGAAGGTACTAAGGGTTAGCATTGATATCGGGACGTCAGTCATCTCAGTCCCCCGTGATCATGGGCACTGGAAAGCACCCGAAACATTTAACATTACGAGAATTAAGGATCATTTAAAATTAAAAGCGATAAAATCCGTAAAATAAATTTTACCCAATGTGTAGTGTTCACGCTTATATAAGAAATAGTTATGTTAATATACGGTCTGAATTTTATAGTGACAGTGATTTTTAGTAGAGAAGTCATAGACAAAATTAATTCATCGACGTTTTTTGTTTCGCTAATGGCACATTAGTAGATTTGTCAACGGAGTGGAAAATTTCAACAGCTTTGTAAAAGAAAGGAGTTATAATAATAGATCATCTTATTTGCATTATGTTAATCGTCATAATATGTATAAAGACTTTAGCTATAAGAATTTTGTTCCTATTTTAGGACTCTCTCTATACTAGTTATTGATCTTAGCTGAGGTATTCTATAAAAGTGTTGGACATAACATTATCAAGGTATCTATCTATAGCGAGGTGATGCATGCCGTTGCATTGCGTCGACGTGGCAACATTCTGACCCGTCGCTATTAATGTTTAACATCAAAATAAAAACATTTTTCTGGATTTTTTAAATAACTCAAAATATTTGACTTATCAACTTCAGACGATACAATACAATACATACACACACTTTGACAGACATACACTTTTTTACTTGAAAAACTGCGTCGAAGGCTGCCAAGTAAGACAAAATGGAACGACGGGTTCAAATTTATAGCTATTTAAAATTTTCAAAATAATCGTTTTATTTAAATATTTTTAAAATACTTCAATCTATCGACTCAAAAATATTTTGCAATTAAAACTGCATCGAATGAAGGCAAGTAATTTAAAATCAAAAGAGGCGTGCAAAAGTTATAGGTTACATATTTTTAATATAAATTAATTAATATTTCATAGCAAAAATTTTATATGTTTAATAAAAATACCAGTTTTACCCCCAGGGGGACTAGATGTTGATCCATGTCAAAGCTACTTCAGTTTTTTAATAATTTTTGGCCATTACAAAACGATTTACGATTTTTTGCGTAAATCGACCAAAAATTAATATTAAAAAACTGAAGGTAGGGACTAACTATGACAGACGTCAAACTCTCAGTCCCCGACCATGGGCGCTGTAAAGCACCCGAAACGCGGGATAATAATAAAAATAAATTAAATGTAAATAATAGTTTTATTAAATATAAATTAATTTTTAAGATTATTTGGAAATTTTAATATAAATTTCTCTTCTTCTTTTCAATAATCGTTTTCTTAATATCTTTTGAATTTTTGAAGTTTCACGCTCGAAAAAGCCGGAATTTTCATGGTTGGCCTATAGTTCAACAGCTTTTCATTTTTTTCTATTGATATTGATATTGTAATTTTTTACACTACCTAGTATCAAAACGTCCATCAAGGTAGGAAATTAAAAAAAATACTATTTTTAAAACCTCTTGCAGCCAAGACTTGATTAGTCCCTTCATGATCGTGTTAAAAGGTACTTACGTTAAATTTTTCATCATCCTTCGTATGTTTTGCGACGCATGTGAGTTTCTACTCACCTTCCTTTTACGCTAAATTCACTTAATAGAAATGCAGTTTCATCATAGAATGGCAGAGGGTTATGTTTATGTCTAATGCTCTCGGTCTTCTATACAATCTGCCGCAGGGTATGTATCTGGTCTATGGTACTGAAGTCTTTTCGGAAATCAGCTTGTTCGGGAGGCTGCAAGTCGTCGAGTCTGCGTGCGAGACGACTCGTAATGACTCTCGAAAACAGCACGTAGACGCGGCTCAGAAGGGAAATCGGTCTGTAGTTCTTCAAGAGAGTGTTGTCGCATTTCTTAAGGAACAAGACCACCGCACTTCCGCTCCACGCCTCTGGAGTAGTGCTACCATGGAGGACGGAATTGAAGAGCTTCTGAAGGACTTCAAGTACCGGTGTTCAACCCGCTTTCAGAAGCTCCGCTGTAATTCCATCCTCTCCGACCGACATAGCCCAACGGATTAGTAAGCTGAAGTGGCAATGGGCAGGCCATATAGCTCGAAGAACCAATAACCGATGGGGAAGAAAGGTTTTCGAGTGGCAGCCTCGTACCGGTAGGCGTAGTGTAGGGTGCTCCCCCACTAGATGGAGTGACGACCTGGTAAGATATGCAGGAAGTCGATGGATGCAGGTGGCTCAGGACCGTGCTTTGTGGCATTACTTGGGGGAGGCGTACGTTCAGCAGTGGACTAGTGAAGGGCTGTAATGATGATGAATGATGATGATGATCCATTGTAGCTAAAAATACACTACTAAACATGGCTTTCCCCATAGACTGCCTAATAGGGGAAGTTTTGTCATGGTTTCCTCTGTTGGTAAGCGGGTTTGGTAACCAAAGGTTTTTAATTTTTAAATTTTTTGTTTTCTCTTGGTTTTTTACATGTGTCCTCATGTTTATAGGAAACATTTTATATGACCATATTTATCCACCATATATTAACCAATATTTTTGTCTGAATGATATTGAAGTATCGGAACCGAACTACTTAGAATATTTATCATCATTCTATGAATATCCTCGTGACTTCCTTGTTGATCTTTTAGTTGAAAACGCGTTATCTGATCATGTGGTCCTGAGTTCGAATCTGAGTTGGACTAAAACTAGTTATTGGGTTTATCATCAAGAAGTTGGGGCCTAAAGTTAGAGAGTTGGTGGCATTGTAAAGTCTTAACCTTGCGCTTGATCTTATTTCGACTGTATCCGATTGCCAACCACTAGGAATAATAGATAGAAGGAATGGAGAGTGCTCCTAGGCTTGCGCACTCATTTGGGCACTTAAATCCTGTCCTTAATAGATAGCTAGTCTCCGTAAAAAGTACCCGTCTCGACTTATATGACTATAAAAGACATATACTTACACAATATTAAAGAGACAAATGAACTAACAATGTACCTGATCTTAAGTGGCTGCTCTAGCCCTACCTGTAAAAACACTGGCTTTCAAAACTCTTCAAACCTAAAGAGAATTGTGAACGCAACCCGCGGCGGCAGCACAGCGTGTCACTCTGCTGCCACTCGTACTGATTCCAAGCCGAAAAAAGCCTACAATTCGCGTTATGCGGATAGTATCATTAATATCAATAATAGTAAATATTTTTTATAGAATGTGGGTGACAAAGGAGCACACTGTTCACCCGATGGTAAGTGATTGCTGTGGCTCGTAGACATCTACAGACATCTTTAATTAAGAATCAAAATGCAGTTGCGTAGTCACTATTAAGTACTAAGATGGAATGCTTCATTTTAGTAATAAGGGTCTCGATTTCCGGTTCTCTACACTCACCATACCAAAGAACAGTATGAAACTGTTATTTTACGCTAGTATTCTGTGACAAAACCGTAACATAGCTGTAGCATTACTCTTCCACGCTAAAATTGAAGTGTATTATATAGCGAATCATATATATTCTTTATAATATAAAGTAACCAGTGAAATAACAGCCCAACTGATGACAGTAGCTACAACAGTCCAACGACACTTGAAACCAACTTAAAATAAAAGAAGGCTGTAGCTACGTTTACACCTCTGAGGACTACGGCTCAGATACTGGCATAGATAGTATCTTGCAGTAAAAACTTTCTCGGGTCCTTTTATATTATTGCTCATTAGATGTAGGTGTCTATGAACTACAGCATCAATTTATCATCAGCTCGACTATGTTTCATTTTGGTACGTTTTTAGATATACATACACAAACACTCTGTCACCCAGAGAGGTTAGAACATCCATTTAGGAAGCTCCTGACACACCTCACGCGTACATGCTCTTTGGTAAAGGGTACCCTAAATCTGGCCTAACTTCAATATATCGCCAATTTGTCGATAAACTACTTTTACGTTTAATCTGTAAAAAATAAAAAAGGCTGCTACTTAATAAACAATACGTCCTTATATAATGCTTAAATATAACTTAATACTTAAATGAAATTAAACACGTGATCAAGGCAGTTTGGTTAGTCGTAGCGAATGCGTTAGTCAAGTCTAATAGGAGTAAATTTCCCACAATAGCAAGGCAGTACCAAGCGTGTCGAGGCACGGCTCTTTAAGCAGTCGCAAACACGGTTCACCTCCACTCGCCGCCATGCACACGCTATTGTACATTTCTTTGCTGCTTCCTGCAGCCGTCCTTATAAACGGATATGGCATGTTCTTTAAGGTGGAATCTACAAAAGGCAAGTTATTATTTTCAAAGTATATTGATGCATATTTTATTGTTATTAAATCTCATTTAGATTTTTATTTCGACAGGATATGGATACAGCAAACCTAACATAATTTTGGGACCATTCTATATACCGGACAAGCAATGTTCTGGCGTAGTATATAATGTAAGTACAAAGCTGACGTGGTAGTATCGTAACCACTATTTGTTCATAAAGAGTTCACTTCAGGACATGGACCCTTCCCACATTCGGAGGACTTTGTTGCTGTCGCCCTGGGCTCGAATCCCAGCTCGCGTCAAAAAATCAATTATTGAGTTTTTCCGTCAAAAAATACTCAGTAGCTGCCCGGAGTCAGAAAGTTGACGGTGTCTCACCCCCGTGCCTCGGAAAGCTCGTAAAGCCGTTAGTCCTGCGCATGATCTCTTCGGTCGTGCCGGATTACCTTCACATCGGATTATGAGAGTTAACGAATAAAGAGTGCACCTGTGCTTGCGCATACACTTGGGTACTGTAATCCTGTCCCGCGCCAATGGCTAGTCTCCGTTGAGGCAGGCCGCTGCTACCGAAATTCGGTCTGGAGGACATTATGTTGTCGAAACAGGGAGGACAATGTGTTTGACAGATTTTTCGCAACTTTTATATTGATATTTACCGCTATGGGTATGTTATTATATACAAATAGAATAACCATATTTTATATGATATTGGTATTCCATAATATGTCGAAGCTTCGAGATCTTTATGCAGTCCTTCAGTCGAAGATATACATGGCCAAGGTCTCTTAAAAATAGTAGGCACTTTTCTTGAAGGTCCCTAAGTCGAATCGGTCCGAAAAATCGAAAGTTGCACGAAGAAAGAACTTCGTGAAAGTTTCATATTTGAAATGAAAAATAACATAATAAACATAAACATACACACTCACATCTGTCACCCAGAGGGGTAGGCAGAGACTATGGATTTCCATTTGGCACGATCCTGACATACCTATCTCCCCTCCTTTACATTCATATATCTAGGCATACACGTTCGTCGATTAAGGGTAATTCTAATGTGGCCCATTTTCAAAATATCGCCAATTTGGTCGATAAAATTTCGTCTAGGGCATCCCTTCCCGACTCTGCACTTCACATCTGCCATAAAAATTTGCTTTGTCACTCTTTCTTCACTCATTCTTTCTACATGACCAAACCACCGAAGCATTCCTTTTTTAATCCTGGTCACAACATCATCTTGCACACCACATTTTTCTCTTATCACACAATTTCTCACCCTGTCATTCCTAGCATACTCAAAAACATAAAAAATAACTTTAATGTCGTATGTGAATCAATACAGTCCTAATCTTTAAAATGATCCTTGCAGCTGACGCAGGCGTGCGAATACCTGGACGTAGTGAAGGTGACGGTTGTGGACGCGCAGGCTTACCCCGAAGTGACGATTGATTCTCTGCTGGAGCGAGCGACGGTGAAGAGACGTGCTGGACCACGCGGCTGCGTCGGCCGGGTGACGGTGCAGGTGACCGTCGGCTGCGGGGACTCCACGCGCCGCAGTGCGCGCTCTCTCCCGGACTCGCTGCAGGCCGGCTCACCGCTGCTGCCACTAACGCCACTTGAGCCTCTTGTGCCAACCACCGCTACCGATAAATCCACTATTATCTAACTTGTCGATAAATATTTAGGTATTTTATGTGAATTTGGTGGTCTCGATCATGATAGATACTAAAATAAAAAGACAACGTATTACTTGTTTTTATTTCAACTTTCACTTTCAAAAAATATTTTTAATGTAAAGCGACTTCAAAGAACTAAAAGTAATAAAACTGAAATATGAAGTTATCACACTCCGAAGTCGGTGCAAAGACACAGTGCATATAAGAATTAAGGACCCGATTTCAGAATCTCTTGTTATTTTATTATTTTAAGTTCTTAAAGTTGACTAAAAAAATACGTGCGGCACTCGGGGACCGCCGCGGTAAAGCTATTGCATATCATTTTTATCAACTTATGCAATTATAATTATTTATTTATTTTATTTATGCAGTTTTTTTTCTTTGCTATTAATTCAAGTTACACTTTTTAAGCGTGGTGACCGATAGGAAAACAATTTTTTTTTCTTATTAAGTTAATATTGTATAAAATATTTTTATTTATCTTACAATAGATGTAGGTTATTCAGGAATTTTTATGATCGAAACTATAGGTTTATAGTAATTAACGAATTCTTCCGACAAACGATAATTTTCTATAAAGTCTATGTTTATTAAATACTCTAAATTCACGAAAGTTGCTAGCATGACGACGACTCACATAAATCCAAAGAATATGCTTCTTGCAATAAAAATATTTTTATTATCTTACAATTCATGCAACTAGTCTACACGCATGCGTCTAGTAGCACGCACACAAACACCGTGCCGAAGTCTGCCGAACTTAAACGACGTTAGACGATGTTAGGTTTTCGGGTCTTAGGTTCGCTCAAAGCCCGCGATAAAAGGTATGCAATAGCTTAAAACATACAGTCGAAACCTACCACATTTTTGAAGTGAGTTAAAATATTGCATATGTTATTTGAAACATCCTAGCAACTTTTTAATTTTTTTACATCTTTATTTTGCAGTACAGATAATATCATTATTTGTCACTGCGCAATTATCTTTAAACGATCAACTACGGAACACAAGCCTTTCCTACGACCAGAATGTCTTTTAATGTAGGATAATTTATAAAATAGTATGCGACTCATCTGATGGTAAATAATCGCAGCCCACGAACCTCTGCAACACTGGTAAAATACACGCACGTTGCTGGCTTTTTAAAATCTACCGTAGCGACAACGTTTAGCGAATGAGTTTTGTAATCTACCGCAGGTACCAAGACCTTTAGTACATAATATCTTTTTGCTATTTCAATAATTAATCACTATATTCTCTAGCGCTTTCATGACCTAACATATAAACTATCTCAAGTAATAACTTCCCTTTGCTACTTATTTTAATTTTGTCTTATATATATAATTAGTTTTATATATTTGAATCATGCTACTGTAACGCTTCCCCCTCTCATAATAAAAATATATTAAATACTAAATATATTATATTCCCCTTTATATTAAAAATTATATATATGTGACCAGGATAAATATGTTTTGATCTTTCTAAATGATCTTTCTAAATGTTTAATAATAGGCCGTTTGTAATATTTTGGCGTGATCGACTTAGTTAGGACCCTTATTTACGTTGTGTTTGTTTAGTAACTTAGTTCTTTTAGATGTCTTTTGGAAGAAAGAATATTCGCTAGAGCAATTAAAAGCTGTTGGTAGTGCCTTATAAGCTAAGTGAACCCCGTTCACGAAGACAGGGCTCGAGAAACGTTAAGACATAAAACGTCCTTATTCCACTTGTATCAGGTTTACATTATTAATTTATTATTAATTATCCTTTCCCGCTCGAAAAAGGCTCAAAATATATTTATACAAAATACCCGATACAAGGGCTTCGCTCTCCTATATTTATTTAAAAAATATAGGGGAGGCACACGGCCCCACACACGCCGTGCACGGTGAGCGCCAACCATTTTGATGCACTCCCCCCGAAGGGAAAGCTAATTCGGGAACTGGACCGTAGTCCACAGCAAAATAACTGGCGAACCAGTAAAAGAGGCTTGGCCCCTTGCTAGTGCGTAAGCACAAACATCGACCGAAGTCGCGCATGTCAATGCGTGTAAACGCCATACAGAATACGAACGAATCCAGCCACAGTGAATGTACGTCACACGGTTTAGGCTAATAGGCACACTGGCCGTAAACCCGTCGTGAGCGCCACCACCTGCCAGACCGCCGCTCCTGCAGACGTGATGTAAGTGTGTGGCATCACCACCGATTGCATGATCAGCACGGCTACTAGCCGCAGAGCGTGTCATGAGTCTACCGCTCACCTCAAGGGAATGGGGTCCCACGTTGTGCGGCTTTCGGCCGCAGCCTTGAGAGTCTCCTCAGATCCTCCCGCCAGCTACCACCCGCATGAGGTCGACACATATGCTCCACCAACCAATACAATGGCAGATATAACCAAATGGCAGTTATAAGATAAGAGTAATAATTCGCCATCAGCAAGGTTTTGTGTCACTGACGTTGAGTAAATGAGCATTTTCGATCATGTTTGTCTTACCCACCAACAAGTTGCCTTCAATCATTCAAAGGTGGGAAAGTTACAGAGATATAATATTATGTTGTTATATAAAACATTGTAGAGGGCAGAAAGTCTGCAGCCCCGTAATTAAGGGACCCGACTTGGGCAAAGCTACTCAGGCGTGAGTCAAACCAAGACGAAGAGAGCGCCATTGAGAATAGCGTCCCACCAAACAATCATCGCAAAGACGCAACGCTGTAGAACGCAACAAGCATCAATACGACTATCGTCGGCTTACATCATCCCAAGGTCCCCCATACATCCCAGCAGACATCACCACCCGCATACCTCCATCGACCAGAACCACAAGAGTGCGTCGAATCAGGCGCAGCACACCCGCAGATCCATCACAAGACGCATTACCGCAAGTAGCAGTAAGCATCAATGCAACTATCATACGGATGGCGCCCCCTCACAACACACCCACATGACCCCTATCGATTTTGGTAACAAAGTTTAAACCCCACAAAGTATTGTTGTTATATAAAAAATATCACCAACGTATCATAGTAGCACGCTACTAAGACGCCAATGAACAAAACTCCACTTATCATAGCACTAATGCACTAAGACATGAAGTTGAGTATGCTTGTTACACTTAAAAATGCTACCAAACACACTCATCATCCCAATCCGAAAGACAGACGACGCATCGCTATGCGCTACGACGTCGCCCACAAACGGTATGGGTGTGCGATGTCCACGGGAAAGCCGTACTGCTGCAACAAACCCGCTTACCACCAGCACTAAAATGATATGTCTAGGACACATCGGTTAGCGAGTCCAAGTTTACCTCGGACCAATTGCTCGTGAAGCAGCACACACGCCACCATAATATTCCTTTTCAAGTCCCTAATAAGGACTAGTCATTTTGCTACAGTACTAGGAGCAGTCGGTCACCCGACCACTCCATACAATGCTTATGCATCAAGGAGACCTTCTATAATATTGCTTTTGTATCATAGACGTTAGTTTCATAAGTCATTAATATATGGGGTTCGAACCCACGACCCTACTATTGTAATGCATATTCATCAAAGAGACCTTCTATAGTATTGCTTTTATATCATAGACCTTACTTTCATAAGTCATTAATATATAGGGTTCGAACCCACGACCCTACTATTGTAATGCATATTCATCATAGAGATCTTCTATAGTATTGCTTTTGTATCATAGACCTTACTTTCATAAGTCATTCATATATAGGATTCGAACCCACGACCCTACTATTGTAACGCATGTTCATCATAGAGATCTTCTATAGTATTGCTTTTGTATCATAGACCTTACTTTCATAAGTCATTAATATACAGGGTTCGAACCCACGACCCTACTATTGTAATGCATATTAATCATAGAGACCTTCTATAGTATTGCTTTTGTATCATAGACCTTACTTTCATAAGTCATTAATATATAGGGTTCGAACCCACGACCCTACTATTGTAATGCATATTCATCATAGAGATCTTCTATAGTATTGCTTTTGTATCATAGACCTTACTATCATAAGTCATTCATATATAGGATTCGAACCCACGACCCTACTATTGTAACGCATGTTCATCATAGAGATCTTCTATAGTATTGCTTTTGTATCATAGACCTTACTTTCATAAGTCATTAATATACAGGGTTCGAACCCACGACCCTACTATTGTAATGCATATTAATCATAGAGACCTTCTATAGTATTGCTTTTGTATCATAGACCTTACTTTCATAAGTCATTAATATATAGGGTTCGAACCTACGACCCTACTATTGTAATGCATATTCATCATAGAGACCTTCTATAGTATTGCTTTTGTATCATTGAGTTTATTATCATAAGTCCCTAATACAGGACTAGTCATTTTGCTACAGTACTTCAGGCAGTCGGGCTCCCGACCACCCCATATATATGTACAACTGCAGGTATGTATCTCCGGCAGCTCCTCTATACAAGACATCTATACATGAACACCTTCCATAACTTACGAAACTTTTCTTTTATAAGTGAACTCCTTCCACAACTTAGGAAAATTCTTTTATACATGAACTCCTTCCACGACTTAGACAATTTTCAACAAATTTTCTAACTATCTTATAAATGTTATTTATCTTAATTTTTATAATATTCTCGACTTGTATTTCTATTAATTATCTTATTTTAAATATTTTTTCAAGTTTTTAGTAAATTTATTTATTATGGAAGACAATATTTTGCCTTTAATTTACTATGTTATTGGTCTAATGTCTGAAATGTATTTATATTAACTTTATGGTTATTAATGTAATTTAATTGCTTAATATATATCTCTTAAGACTATTTTTGACGCCCCTTTATATTGAATTTAATTATTAATAATAATATTGGGCCGTCACACTACGTTTACGTTATTATTCACAAAGTTTAGTACTGCAATGCAATCCGTAGGCCGCCTACTGGTACGCTCTTGCATATCAAGTTGTTTTCTGAAAATGACTC